GCAAACAACTTTATTATAGAAGAAGATTATATGAAAATAAAAACAATCTAAAAGGAACTTGGGATGTGTTAAACAACTTAATTAAACAAGGATCTTCTGGAACATCATATCCTGAATATTTTACTGATGCAAATGGTGAAAATCACAACATGAGTAATATTGTCGATGGGTTCAATAAATTCTTCATAAATGTTGGCCCTGAACTAGCAGCAGACATCCCGTGTCATAAAAATGAAAATATCAGTGATATAAAATCAAATCCCTTTTCACTGTTCCTCTCAGCTACAAATGAGCAAGAAGTAATAAATATCACATTAAAATGTAAAAGTAAGTCTTCAATGGATTATCATGACATAAATATGTCTGTAGTTAAACAGGTTATTCTGAATATTGCTAGTCCCTTAACATATATCTGTAATTTATCATTTCAGTCTGGTTGTTTTCCAAAAAAAATGAAAATTGCGAAAGTAATACCACTATATAAAAGTAATGACAAACACAGTTTTACCAATTATAGGCCTATTTCTCTACTGCCTCAATTCTCAAAAATTCTAGAAAAACTTTTTAATTCAAGATTAGAAAAATTCCCTGAAAAACATCAAATAATAAATGTTGGTCAGTATGGTTTCAGAACGCAAAGAACCACTTCAATGGCGATAATTGAGGCAGTAGAAGAAATTACTGATACACTGGATAAAAATAAATATGCAGTTGGTATTTTTGTTGATCTCAAAAAGGCCTTCAACACAATCAATCACTCAATATTATTGGATAAATTGGAAAGATATGGTATTCGAGGGAAAGCTGGTAACTGGTTAAAAAGTTACCTAACGGGTCGGGAACAATATGTTAGCATAGGGCATTACCATTCAGAGAAACTTGGTATTACATGTGGTGTTCCCCAAGGGTCAGTGTTGGGACCAAAACTTTTCAATGTATACATAAATGATATTTTTGATGTTTCTCAAGTACTTAAACTCATACTGTTCGCAGATGACACCAACATATTTTTCAGTAGCGATGATTATACTGATCTTGTAATGACCGTAAACAGGGAGCTAAAATTAATAAAAAAATGGATGGACATAAATAAATTATCATTAAATATAAATAAAACTAAAGCAATGTTTTTTGGTAATTTAAAATATAATGTAGAATTACCAATTATCATTGAAGGTGTACCAATTGATAATGTGAGTGAAAACAAATTTTTGGGAGTCGTAATTGATAATAAAATTTCATGGAAACCCCACGTCAGACACATAAAAACCAAAATTTCCAGAAGCCTCGCAGTTTTGAACAAAGTGAAACAATTCCTTGATAAAGATGCACTTCGTACTCTGTACTGTACCCTGGTTCTTCCATATCTTACATATTGTGTGGAAGTGTGGGGAAACACATATAAAAATACAACTAATCCATTAGTCACAGTATAGAAACGAGCACTGCGTATTATTCACAAGGCTGGTTATCTAGATCATACTCACAAATTCTTTCTTCAGGCAAAGTTACTTAAATTCCAGGATCTGGTTAATTACAATACATCCATAATTTTGTATAAAGCTTTTACTAAACTTTTACCGGCAAATTTACAAACTAGATTTGAAATTCGAGAAAAGGTTTATAATGTGAGAGGCTTTGGAGAATTCAAATTACCCAGAACTCGAACAACCCGTAAAGGTTTTTGTGTGTCTGTATGTGGTGTGAAAATCTGGAACAGTCTGAGTTTACAATTGAAACAATGCAAAAATATTCATAGATTTAAATTCCTCTACAAACAGTTGGTCTGGTCACAGTATACTCAATGATGCTTTTAGTGTGCTCTGTAATGTCTGTCCTCTTACCATTGCTGGTATGGATTCCAAAAAAAAAAAAAAAAAGTGTGCGTATGTATGTACATATATGTACACGTGTGTGTAGATATATATGTATGTATATGTATGTGTGTTTGTTACTTGTAGTTATTACTGCCTGTTACCTGTGGTAATGCAATTTATAATTTATATATTCTGTATTCAGTTATGAAGGCTCTAATTGTTGTTTGCGAGCTGCCGTTTAGATGCTTGTATGTGCCCGGGGCTGTTGATGGGTCTGTATGCAATGATGGGCGTAGCTGCGGGAAGTTTGTTTTTTTTGTTGATGAGTGAGTATAGGGGTGGGATTTAATAAGTTTTCTTCGTCCCACTCCTTTTTCAGGCAATTTTTGTTTTTTGTTTTGTGCATTTTATGTTCAATATAGGTATTTGTTGTGCCTGAAAATGAACAAATAAATGAAATGAAATGAATGAAAAAAATAACAAAGAGCTGAAGTGAAACAAAGTGGTAAAAAACAATGAAAAGTGTTCACTGCAACTTCTGGCTGTATGTTTCATGCTTTGTTTTTGAAGGTTTTCTCACGTTCTCTGTGAACTCTGCTGTTCACCAGGAGCGGGATACCTTCCTTCCCAATTTGACAGACACATAGGTCCTCTACTGCTAATGTGTATGCAGACAGACACATTTGCTGAACCATAAATTACGATTCAGTCTGCACCATTTCTCAGATCTGCTCCTTTGGCCTGAAGCCCACCTAATTTGGCTGCTCTGCTCTGGGTTTCACTCCTTTATTTGTTTGCATTAGTACTCCACACTCTTGGCTCTCAGACTTTCAGAATTTCTGTACATCTACAACATCATCATTGGTCTCTAATCAGTATACTGTGTTGCATTATTACCAGACAGACCTATCACTGTTCTTGAGTTTTTCATCACAAACGTTTAACACAACTTCATCTCAGCTTGGATAGTAGTTTGTAACTGGTCTGTCAAATAGAGTCGTATTTTGATAACAGTTTTATAGACTTATTGATCTTATAGCAATTGAGACTATAAGCAAGATTTAACAGCGTCGTACAAGCAAATTATTTAGTCATGGACTGTTTAGCATTTCCTGTTTACCAAACATGCATGTCTCTGGACTGTGGAAAGAAGCAACAATACTTGGATTAAAACCAAAGAGACTTTGGTCTTTAGATTCCTTGTCTTTTTTATAGTACTTAGAATAGAATAGAATAGAATAGAATAGAATAGAATAGAATAATCCTTTAATTGTCCCACAAGGGGAAATTTGGTTGTAACAGCAGCCAAAAAGACACATATACAAACAAACAGTACACAGGACACGGAACAGAAACATACACAATTTCTCTTACATATTTACATTAAGGACAGTGGTTACTATATACAGAGAGTACTGTACAGTTATTAAATTAAATAAAAATAACTACAGATAAGAGGCAAAGCAGGTTGTAGTGCGAATCGGTTAATTAACTTATTGCAGTTACAGCGCAGATGTAAACATCTATGTTTGTTGGGAGCAGTTCTGATTGTACAGTCTGACAGCTGCAGGGAGGAAGGACCTGCGGAAACACTCCTTCATGCATCTAGGATGCAGCAGTCTGTCACTGAAGGAGCTCTGCAGTTCAGCAACATTTACATGCATGGTTAGTATCTTTGATTGTATTCATAGTAGGCACAGGTTATTCCCACTCCAGTAAGGAGAGATCATTTATAATCTAGCGCATAGGTGACAAACTCTGGCCCGCGGGCCAAATTTGGCCCGCAGCCTACTTACATTTGGCCCGCGAAGCCATACCAAATTACTATCAGAGCTGGCCTACTGGTATTATACAGCTAATATATATATTGTTTAGTATTAAGCTTTGCTTGTTCCATATTCAGTTTTTCAGCAAAACGTGTTTGAGTCCATAAGAAAAGATTCATTCTTATATCTGGAGAAATAAAAATATTTAAATAAATAGTAACGTTAGCCCGTGGCTTTGTTCCAGTTTTGAATTTTGGCCCACTGTGTATTTGAGTTTGACACCCCTGATCTAGCTGCTCATCAGACTACAATGAAACTACACAGAAGAGCTGAGTCCAATAATAGTAAGAAGTAGGGCATGACCCACTGATGTTGACTTGGATAAGAATCTCTGTCTGATTAGAATGATGTTGAGATTGACACGAGGTGGGTCACATAAATGAGAGTCTGGAAGGTAGGATGACACAAGTACTGAGATGTAAAGCAAGTGGAATAGAGACTAACTCGAGAAAATGACTGGGCCTAAGTAATGACGACTGTATTGAGTTTGACATTGTGGGAAAGCAGGAGTGTTGTGAAGAACAGAATGGAAGAATTAGTGATTACAGATCTTTCCTATTAACCTTACACATGAGCTTTTTTCTATCACACACATCATGGTGATGCATTAAAAACTGAAAACAAGCACATTATACTTGAGTAGTGCTTATTTAAGCTGCACAGTACTTCAGTTAATTGACTCAAAAGGAAGAAAATGGCAACTAATAAAAAAAATTCAAAATACATAATTTCATTAAAAAATATATAAACAAATTAATTTGATAACTGTCTGTGTAGGTTCTCAGTCATTCAGGTCATGGTGATCTTAGGAGCTTGGAAAGAAAAATCATCTGGACGTTTCACCTCTCATCCAAGAAGCTTCTATAGTTTTAAAACCAATTGATGGCGAGTCCCAGGTATTTAAGTCCTACTGGGAGTTTTCCCTTATCAGGCTTGTTGACCCACTATTGATCATGTACCACATCACATGAGCCAAGGTATATGAAAAAGTGTGTGGGTCACTATCAGCAGAGGTTTGGGGTGAAACCATTGTGAGACCTTGCCCCACCCTATCATGTGACTTAGTTAAGTCACATGATAGGCTTGTACCAAAAGGTCTGGCTCAGCATTCAAAATCAGCTACAGTGAGTTTAAGTGGGTTTGTCTTCACTACAGCTACTGTGCTGCAAGTGGCACATTGACCTTTTTTGCATACACCCGGCTGAACAGAAGTGCTGCAGGGTCTGCTCCAGCTCTCTGCACACAGTGCTATCTACCGCATTACCACTGCTTTGTTTGTTTTCATCTCACAATGCTGGTGGCATTTGGAACAGAGCGTTCTCTCTGTCTCTAACTCTTTCTCCTTTCTTCCCTGCAGCTTATTCAGACTCTGAAGAGGTTGATGAGACCCACCTCCGTTGAATTTAAGTCTCCACTAGAGCTGTCAGCACAGGGTGAGAGTAAAACATGCTCATCTGTAAACGGTTTCATTTAAGCTCTGGTAATAACTTTTTGCTGCAGATAACCCACTGATTCGACCTGTGATGCAGAACCACAACGTGCACACACACTAAAAAAACACATGTACAGTGTTTGTATTGATTTAATGCTACCATCCTCAGTGGTACTCTTTCTGAATGTTAATAGTGGGTATTAGTCAATGCCAGGAAGCTGCTTAGCTATAAAGAAAGCTTGTTAGGGAATATGAGCAAACACAGACTTGCAAACTCTTCTGAGCTTTTAACAGATACCTCATCAATCATTTCCCTGACATCTATGGATGCCATGCTAATTATTTTCCTATTAAAACATAATTATCCCAGCTGTGCTTTTTCCCATCCTCCGCTGACCCACCACACTCTGCTCCATCACCACTTTTGTCTCTTTTTCTCCACATACATAGAAAATGCAGCAGTGTGATAAAGCATGAAGCACTTGCTGTCGAAAGAAAAAAATTGACAAGATAATCCAGCAAGCCAAAGATCATCTCTGGAACCTGATGACAGCCAGAAGATGAAACTTGGCATCCACGTTGGAGTTTATTATACACATTTTAAGGTCAACGTATGCAGTGTAGATTGCATTCTGCATATTGAATAGTTGGCTAAGTGCACATATATTGCCTTGAGCACAGTGAAGCACTCATGCTTTCTAGGTCATTGATGAAAAAATATGAATTCCATAAATGGTAAATGGCCTGTATTTGCATAGCACTTTACTTAGTCCCTATGGACCCCAAAGCACTTTACACTACATTCAGTCATCCAACCATTCACACACTGGTGATGGCAAGCTACTTTGTAGCCACAGCTGCCCTGGGGCACACTGACAGAGGCGAGGCTGCCGGACACTGGCGCCACCGGGCCCTCTAACCACCACCAGTAGGCAACAGGTGAAGTGTCTTGCCCAGGACACAACAACCGAGACTGTGAGAGCCAGGGCGCAAACCGGCAACCTTCCGATTTCAAGACGAACTGCCATGTCTTGAACCACGATCGCCCCGTAAAATAAAAACATGAATATAAAATCCCTGTATATGAGGGGAGCGATTTTATCCTCTGAGAAAAGAACGTCTTATCCATTTTACTTTCAAGAGGTCAACAGCAACTAGAGGCAACTGGTGACTCAAAAAATGGAAGAGAGGAAGAAAACCAACCTGCGGCACCATGTTCCTTACAATAGCTGCTTAAGCTTTACTTTTTGTGACTAGTAGACAGTATATAGTCAGCTTTGGTCCTTGTTATGCCGTTTATTTGTTTATTCCAACCAGTCATTTTATGTAATATATTGATCTCCCACTGTTTCTCATAAAAAACCTCATTGCACTCAGCTTTCACTTTCTATGAGCCATCAAATGTTGGGGGTAGAGTTTGGGTTAAGTTCGTGTCCAACCCTTTTATATAATTTTCACCTATTTGGATTACCCATATAATAAGGTTTATGACAAATAGACTGTAATGTAAAAGCAATGTATCGATCTTTCACTGAAAGGTAACGTCTAGTTTCTGAAAAACTGCCTTTTAGCATGTGATTAAATAAAAACCCAACCCTAAAGCTACTCCTAACCTTAGACTGTTTGCTAGTGACCTGGTGGATGTTAAAAGGCTGAAATATGAATGCATTCCCTTTAACTTCAAAGCACTGTTCAACTGAAAGAAAAATCTAAGTATTTAACCACATAGTCAGACCTGCAAGCAGCCAATCCAGTTCTGTGACTTATCTCCAAGTGCAGATAAGAGAATTCAACATGCTGAGTGCACTATCGACATATCAAAGGCTCATTAAAATTTTTGATTTTGCACCATGTAAAAAATGCCTCCTCCTCATCAATGCTTCATCTTTCTAACAATAACAGCAGCAACAGCAGTGAGAGTCACAACATCAGCCTGAGCTGCTGTTGTTAGCTTTGCCAGTCAAACACACATACACACTCCCAACAGCTGCTGAGAACCACGAAGCAGGACCAAAAAAGCATGTTTCTTCAGTGATGTGGAAACTCTTCAGTTTTACAAAGTCTGACATCAAACACCAACTTATCCTGTGTAAAGTTGTTAAACCTCAGTTTGAACTAACAGTAGCAGCACAACACATCTGTTCCAACATCTAAGACTACAGTACCAGTGAAATGACAGTAACGTGTTTCGTACCTTTTCATTTCCCCTCTGGTCTGATTTTTTTTTTTTTTTTTTTACATTTTCTAAATAATAATTAATATTTTTTCTAGTTGGACTTGAAACTGATATTTCCGTAAGCGTTAAAATAGTCCTTCAACTCCATTTGGTTGTAATATTACTGGAACAGTGACAGATTATACCACCACACACAGCCAATGGCCCCAACTCTGACCCATATTTTGCTTCTTCCATAATCACAGTGATTTCAGCTAATTACATGGCGTGTCCGTTGTTCATACTTTCACATTCATTAGGCATGTTTTCATCTACCTTTATGTGCACAACACTGTGTGGATAATCTGAGCGTAAGATAAATCACCTTTTTGAACAAATTTTGGGAAAAAACATTCATCCTATTATGAAAGTTTACCTCAGATTCCATATATGTTAAACTGGCGGTGGCACTCCGTTGCAAAGTGAGTTGAAGATCCAATGCAGCCATGTGCAGGTTAATCTCAACAAGAAATTTAGACTGGGATTGGATTCTGACTGGATGAGCCATCAGCTGATGTGTGCTTATGTTGAGAGTTGCCTGAATTGCTACTAAATATCTAGACCTACAAAAACTAACATCCAAATTCAGTCATCATAAATTTCACTAATTTCATGTAGGTCTTTCTCTGACCTGTCAAAGCGTGGATACAGGACTTCTGTAGGGGTTCTGTGGTATCTGGCACTGGGACTTTGGTAGCAGATGCTCTGCATCCTGGGGGTTGCATGTTGACGCTTGTTGTGGCACATTCTATAGATGCCTGATTGGTTTGGGATGTGGGGAGTTTGCCATGCTCCCTGAACCTTTGAAAAAAGTTCTAAATAGTTTTTCATCAACTCTCTGGGTGAAGAGGGGAAGTTAGCTACTGCTAGGGTGTGTCTGATATGCCCGTTGGTGGTGTTTCTGCATCATCATAATAATGTTGGTCCAGGATCAACATTGCAATTGATCAGTCATTTGTTTGCAATATGGGGGGAAAAAAAACACATGCCCTGTTTATATAAAACTTTCTTCTGGAACACATTTCAGGTGTTTTCTTCATTCATTTATACAGTATAGTAAATATTTAGATTTAGATTGCTCATGATGTTTGCTAGTGACAGTTTTTAATAGGATTAGCTAATTTCATTCCTAATGCTTCCTAATTGCTCAGGCCACGTGAGTGGTCAGTTGCATTGTTGATCCTGGACCAAAGATATTATGATGACGGGGACATTAGATTGTGCGCTGCCCCTCAAGCCTTTGTTGGCATTCAAAAGGTGGAGGGTGGGGGTGGTGACTCAGTCTGCAGTAGTGTTTAGGTGGGTGGTATGCTTCAAAGAAACATGGTTTCAGTCACACCAATAAAGATGAGACTGAGCCAAATATTGAAAGCTGAAAGCACGCAACCCATATATTTTCTACATATACAAACACAATGTAACTCATCTTCAGTTATATGGTATGGAATTACTGTCACACAAGCCTAAAGATTGCCTTATATTCAGGCCAGTATGGCCAAGATAAATGTGAGTCAGGTAAAACCACCCAGCAAATGATGCCTCCAAAACATTTTTAAGAGTTAAGAGTAATTTGCTATTTACACACTCTGCATTTTCTAAGCATGCTTAATCTCTCTTTGGATGGATGCCAACAGCTGCACAGGTCAGGCCAGATAAACTGAAACACCTGAACACAAATGCACTCTTCGTGATGTGCTCATTATTTGAGGTGAATGACCTGCAGTGTGCACAAAAACACTTATGTGGTCCCCAGAGTAACAAATAATGTAGCAGGCAAAGGATGATGTAACATACCTGAATTGTAGGGGTGATGCTGGATGAGTTCGGGTGATTTTGCCAGTATAGTGTGTGTGTGTGTGTGTGTGTGTGTGTGTGTGTGTGTGTGTGTGTGTGTGTGTGTGTGTGTGTGTGTGTGTGTGTGTTTCTAACCAAGGCTTATTTTTGTTTTCCTCTGGCTGCAGGCAAAGAGATGATCGAAATGTATTTTGACTTCCGCTTGTTTCGCCTGTGGAAAAGCCGCCAGCACTCCAAGCTACTGGACTACGACGACCTCTTGTGACACCACCCAATGTTCTGTTGGCTTGTCGGCCAGTTATTGCGAATCTGAGCCTACCTTTGTATGGCGTCAAGGCATTTGGTTGAAGTGGGGGGGCTCCTCTCCTCTCCAGAGAGGTTCCTAGACCGGCTCTGTGTGCTCAGCTAGAAGCTGGAGCAGCAGTGGAGGCAGCAGCAGTTGGGTCTGTTTTTGTAAGCCCTTCTGAAGCGACGGGGTGTGGCCCTGTAGATTCAGCCGGCGGTGTGCTTTCTCACCTGCACCTATTTTCACTTTCTGCCTCTGCCTAACCCTAGAAAAGAGAAAGAAGGGGGACAAGAGTGAGTTGGAGAAGCAAGTGACTCATCATCCTAGCCTAAATGTGTCAGAAACGCCAACTACACTTAGATTTCTGAGTTCAGAGAGACTATTAGATACAAGAGTGACAGTGGAGAATCTCTGTCTGAGATTTGAGGATGTTTTTTTCTTGTCCCACCTTTAGCCAACCTATCTACTCTTGTTAGGAGGCTTATAAGTATGGATTTATAAGTTATTTACAAAGGAATTAGAGCTTATATGTAAATAAACAAGTGCTTGCTAGAGCATTAGAGAATACATTTTCAGCATCTCTCGCCATGCTGTCATGTGATAATCTGGACATGTGATTAGTCTTATTAAGAATTAGAGTTGTCTATTTACTGCAGTCTTTTTTTAAACCTTCATATAAATGTAATAGTGTTTCTTACAGACTGTTGTAATAACTCAGGTCAAATTCTTTTGTTTTCTACTAAGAATTGTACTCACCTGTACAACATACTGTAGATCAGAATCAAAGGCCTTCATACTCCACACAGAGTCATCTTCAGTGGAACATCAGGGATGAGCGGAGCTTTTCTCCATTTTCATCTCGCCTTTTGAGTCAGCTGTAGCCAAACAGACAGATGCATCCATGCATATTTTTCATAACATTACAGCATTGTGTTTTAGCCCACTGAGCCACTGCTAGCTGATTTTTCTTGAGCTATTGGTTCGTGGGCTCAAAGCCTTTTGCAGTGTTTGTATTGCACATGTGCATTCAAACCCTTCTTGCATAGCTAGCCTCTAAAGAGGTTTCAGTTGGAGGCTGACATCAGACTCTTTACAGTGAGTGTAATATAGTGCATATTTAGTTCATTCCAACAGTTTTTCACATTTTTGGAGAACTTTCATTCTTTATTTAGCTTGGACATCCAGTGGAGTGGTAGGGGCGATGCGATCCTTTGACTTATTTTTGTTTCCCCTCACCACCAGCTTGTTGTTTCCATCTCAACATACTCTTAATCTTAATCATATAACAGCAACAATGTGTCCCAAACGCTGTCTTTGCCATGCTTATTTCCAGCATTACAGTCCACTGTAAAATGTTTTGCTGTAGCAAGATTTTAAAGATGCACAGGTGTGATTTTGTGTTTTGCAGTTGGGGCGTTTCAGTCAGACTGACAAATGGTTCAAGCTGAGGCAGCAGAGGCTGAGATAGCTTCATCTTCATTCTTCTTGTTCCATTCGCAAGATCCTACATTTCCCACAATGCAACATGGCTGCTTTTTTTCTTGAGCTCCTCTTGGAATGACAAATGTCTGAATTCTAAATTTAAACTTTGTGTGACACAAAGTTTTGCGGTACTGTTTTTCCTTTCCTTTCTTTCAAAAAAATGTGTCATCCAAGCTAAATGACATCATCTGTAGGAATATTAAGCTCCACTCAGGGGCTTAGTGTTGTGTAGATCAACAAATACAATAATGCCATATAGCTGATCATTGCACACTTAGTTTACAATAATAATAAAAGTTTTGGGGGACTGTGCTGTTTAGAAATACATGTACTGGTATTGAATATGAGTATTGAATATGAGTAAAAATGGACAGGATGAGTGATATTTACATTGTCTCATCTCAAACTTGTGCTGATGTGGTCATGTCCTCTGTTATATAATAACTTTTTCCTCCCTTCTGCACCCTCAGACCAAAGCACTCTTTCTTATCTGCAGCGCAAGCTGAGAAAAAGCGCTTTGTTTCTTGTTTCTTCTGTGCAGTTTGCTCGCAGAATGAAAATTAGTCTTTGGATTTGGGATGAGTTGTGATATTTTTAAAGTAACACAAGGTGTGTTGTTCATGATATGTTTACTAGTCTCTTATACTGTGTCCTGTCTGCATTGTAAACATAGTTCACTGCTTATTTTTCCACAAATTCCAAGCTTTGTTGCAGCTTCTTGGGCCATCCACGTCAGCTGACCTGGAATTAGTTTTCATGAAGCAGTCTTGATAGGTAGAAATTACAAAAGACCTCTGAAATCTATTTTATGTACTACATTTAACTACCAAACAGCTTAAAATATGTCCCTCTTGTTTAACTGTTATTGCGAGAGTTTTTGTGTTCATGGGACCGAAATCTCAAATTTAGAATAGTGGGTCATAATTATGAGTGGTATTGTATAAGCTGCAGAGATAAGGTCTCTTACATGTTTGATTGAATGCAATCTTCTTCCACATATACCTGTTACCATGACATTTGCTATGTTTGCTGTGTCTTAAATCACATACTTCTATATTTAAACTCATTAATTTGAGTTCGACATTGTGTTCAATATCAAGTACTGCTCCACAAAGTGCTGCTTGAGTACCTAGAAATGTGGAACATTTCTCAAGCTCAAGGGTCACTGTTAGCTAGCAGATAGACTGCTAGCTAACTGGTAGTCCTTCCATAAGAGATTTTTATTTATTTATTTTTTGTTAAGGGTAGATTTTTTTTTCTTCAGGCACTGAAACTAGCTTTGTTAAATTGTTTTGCATATTGCAAATGCCATTAATGGTGAGTGCATGACTGGTCAGCTCTGATTTGAAACAAGCCTATCTGGTAAATCCATTTACTAAACAAGTAGCTATATAGTGTACATAAAGCACTAAATGAAAAAGTATTTGAATTGAGACACACTGTACTTAAACAGGCAGGGATACAATGCTGCTACATACTATTTTATTCCACGAAGCATGTATCACCCAATCTCTGTCACAAGCATTGTGATAATTTGGTGTAATCAAAGGAAAAACGAAGACCTTTCTAGTTCCATGGCTGCTCCTGGTTTGCACCATTAAGTCACGCAGCATACTGTCTCACATGGCATCTGGGTCTTCGAATTACCTCAAATGCAGAGAGAACCAGGGATTTATTTGTTAGGGAATATTTAATGGTATTTTCTCTACTGGTACCTTTTTAATTTTCATAAATGTTATGCTCAGTAGAAAATATTGTACATTTTCATTGTACAGTTTGTGTTTTCTTTTTTTGTTTGGTGTTGGTGGATTACGTGTAAGGACTTCATTATACTTTCCATGTGAGTGAGTCTATTAGGCTCAGGTTGGGTCTAAATGATTTTGGTCATGAGACAGTGAGCCAGTCTATGCAGATGTCTGCATGGCATCCCTCTCCTCCTTTGTTATTCAATCAGCCTTTGATTGTGTTTGCTGATCAAACCGCCAACTGTTACTTCAAACAGGGAGCCGCTGTTCAGTATTTAAATTGTAGTAGTATTTTACAGCCGTTGTGTACAGTCTGGCTAGTTTTGCCTGTTCACCTTGTTTACATTAACGTCAAAGTTAGTTGAGGTTGGTGTAAGTTAGTGTAACTCTCAGGCAATTATACAACTTTCAATGTTTCTTTTCCCTTTGTTCAGGCTTTATGAGCGTTTTGGACTAATCATGTGAGGTCGTGCCTGTCCTTTGTGCCCAGTGATCTCTTTGCTTAAAGGTGGTTCTGATCTTAAAAATCATTGTACATTCATGACTTTCCTTCATGAAGATATGTATTTGTTTAAAGATCAAATACTTTCCCAGTTTGTATTCTGTAGCAGTAATCAGTGTAAGAATATTTCTGTATTGGTATTTCAATTTGTATATTTGTATGTACAAGAGCATTGTTGGAGGTACTGTACAAGATACCTTTGGATTTTAATGACTGTCTTACAATTCTGTGGACAGAAACAGACACTGCAGTGCGTGCAGTGTGCTCGCTGCTCGGCTTCTTTATATTCTGCAGCGGTTATCGCAGCCCCAGTTCTGCTCATATGACCCTCTTCTTTCTCCTCTGCTGCGAGTTTAAATAAAGGCCAAAGCCCAGAGCGTAATTACACACCTCTGTTCGACACTTGTAACCACATCTTAAGTCGAGGTGTTTAATCGTGCTCTTATACTAAAAACTGGCACAAGTTTGATGGATTTCTAATGAGTTTTCTGATAACAAAGACAACAGAGACTTTACTGGAGATTCATTATCTGCTGTCAAGCCCACAACATTTTCCCCATGGCTCTGATCAGATAAAACACTTAGCTCTCCTGCTGGAACATAACGCATCAGTGCTAACATTGAGGAAGAGCCCGAGCAGTGTAAAACAACTCGCAGACTTTGTAGACTAGAGCGGTTTTGAGTCACATTCCCATGGCAAAGTCAGTTATGTGGGACATCAGAGATAATAGATCAGATCTTTGAATATTACCAGTGAAACACCAAACAGAATTTTACAATGCTGCTACAAAAATCTTTTACATGAAACAATTAGGCTGATTGGTTTGAACTTACTAAGACGAGTTGAGCAAAGATTTTTTTTTTTTTAAAGATCTTTGTTCCAAAAACTTGCACTGTACTGAAAAATGATAGTTAAAGTATATTATGTCATTTTGAGAAATATTCAAATAATAACCTTTGCTTTGAGGATAATTGCTTTAAGAAGCAGAGTGACTCTTCCATTAAGTAAATTGGGTCAAAAAGGTTAGACTACATGAGTTATTCTGCTGCTTGCCAGAATCGCAGGTTAGACATTTCTGGCATTTTTAGTGCTTAAAAATATGAAAGTTTACGCAGTGACTACATATCAACCACAGTTATCTTGAACTGGCCATTGTTACATACACAGACTACGAAAACTCCAGTATCACAGAATCACACAATGAAAGTCAATAATTATGCTTTGTGATTGGAGTAGTAATTGCCTTTAATTTTTTATGAAATGAAGGCGTAATCAATTTTCTTTCTCAGTTGTCCCCTTTCACTTTTGTTTGTCCCTTTCATTTAAATATGATCAGCAAGTGGAGAAACCCCTAACCAAGGTCACATGAAATACTTCTGAAGATAATACTTTATCTAATGGGAGAAATTTTGTTTCCAAATATCTAAAATCACCGGGAGAAGCTTCAGTGTCAGGTATCTATAGGCTACTGGGTTTGTTACTACAGTATCCTCCCAATTCAGAAACAAAGCATACATTATTTCATTAACAATGTTATTGATCAGCAATATTGACCAGTGTCGCTTTAAGATAAAAAGTAAACACCTGTACATATTGGCAGTGGAGAAAGCAGGAAACATCATATTTTTTAAAGGAGTTGAGCAGCGACTGCCTTGGCAAACTTCGGTTTGGGAAGCTTTGACAAAACTCTGGCATTAAAACATGACTCATGTCTGGGATGTTAAGCCTCTTCTAATAAGGTCAGGTATTCATATACGTGCAGATGTATTTCAGGGGGAAATGACCACACGCAGTTTGACTTCTCGTGATGGTTCACCGAAGCAGCCATTTCCATTTCTTGAGAGGATAATTACATAAATCAAGAGTTTGAGCTTTGCCTCCTCTCTTGTTATTTTCCACGTGAAACTGTGTGTCATATTGACAATTGCAAAGATCGCTCAAATTATTATTAAGCATTGTTGTGCCCTCCCTCCTGCTTTGTTCCAGTTTCAGTGAAGATTTCCAAGGCTCAGTTGGGAATGAGTGTGATGAGGATGATGAATTGACACTGCTTTGATTGCCCTGACATCTCCAGTTGGGCTGTGATTGTATTTCTGGAAGTTTTGAAAATAATATGTCTATGTAATGTCTGTGTCATTTTGGATCAACTTCTAAATAATTTAACTGAGCATTACATTTTGGAATAGATTTTTTAGTCCAACACAGTAGAGTGTGAGATTTATAAATGTTACAGTGAGCTTCATCCATGTATATGGATAGAGAAAATCTTAAAGGTATGATAGCAATTAACATTACTGCATATAGTGATTTTGATACTAGCATAAGTTAAAACTATTATCTGGGTAGCTTTCCTGAGCTTTGGGGTTTCTTCCTTAGAATAGACATTAGAGAATGCTTCTTATTTCAAGGGCAATGTGTTGTATCTGAACTAATAGCAAGGAAATGTTTTTGCATTGCACAATGTTGGTAATAACCTGTGAGAAAAAGTATTGTTTCTACAGCATTTCCTCCCCCAAGTAAACTATAGTTAAACACAGCTTGTGTCTTTGTCTTATCATTGATTCAGTGGTGTCATTTTGGCCCCCAGGAAGTTTTACCTGGTTTACATTTCGTGTCGCTTCATAAGTAAAAAGATCCTCTCATGCTAAAAATGCAGGTTGGGTTGTGATGCCACAGTGCACTTTGGGATAAAAGTCCCCATCTTATTAAACTTTCTCTTTGTGTGCAGAATGCATGAAATTTTCTTCTGAGCACTCATGCAGTGAAATAGCCACATTAACATATTTAGCATAAAATTGTGCAAACATGTATCAGTTACAGAGTGTTGCTAAGGCTCTGTAATGCAGAAGTAAATGCTAAATCTAATATAGCAGCACAGTCACAATGATGCACTAACAAGGAACTTCTAACTACTCAAGAACATGCACTTTCTGGACCTCCAGTTTCACTGGGGGTACTCACAAGATCGTTCCAAATGAATGGGGACCTATGGAGTTGAAGCATAAAAATGTTCATTTTGTGGGGTAAATGTTCTTTTTTTCACATAAATGGAAGCATTACAAGTACCTAGAGGATGGATGGCCATCAAATTCTGGTTCTCCGAGGATAAACTCGAAATACTTCAATAACACTTTAACATTTATCACACTTTGTCTTGTCATTTTCCATTTATGGTATGGAAAATGTCTGGATTACTATGGGCTGTGTTCCCATGGTGATTTTCAAAGCAGATTCACCATATTCAAATTGGTTGTTTTAAGATGTTAAAAAGCCAGAAGCGGAGTTTAGCAATGATAAATATTAGTGTGCATACAAAAAGACTTGGAATAATGATGCATATGATAATGTTTTCTTTTAAAGGCAAAAATACCCAATCACATTTGTCAAGACTGATATTGATGTAAAATTAAATATTACATAAATCAAAAATAAAATCTGTACAGTTATCCTAGTTCTCCAGAATCAGACAGAAATTATATACACCAGAGATTTTTGAAGTTCATAATATAGAAGCATCCTAGAGTACAAATATGCATATGCTGCTCTGCTGTGAGTATCAAATATAGTTATTGTGTTAACAGATGGAAGTAGCATATGTTCAGAGGCTGCAGTGATGCATTGTAAGCTGCAGCTACAAATTTTCCAGATGGAACAGCCATTGATAGCACGCAAGAACTCATAACTAGCTGTGTTGCAGACTAAGGTAACATGTTAAATGTGCAGGGCAATCAAAAACACTTCATTCTACTTTATTATGAACACACATCATGAATTCAGTACTACCCTACTCAGTTACACAGGGACACTGCAGCCAGCACATGTTGGCAGCCTTACAGCAACCACCATGTATGAATAATAGAAGAAAGGGTGGAGAGGACCAGACTACAGAAGCACAAGACCAGAGTTAGTGCTCAACACTCAGGGGGGTCAAATTGCAGAAGTGTATGTGTGTACCATACCATACTCTACTCACAAGCAATTTATTATAGACCTGTTAAACTGCTCGTTAATACAAACGTCTAATCAGTCAGTCTATGGCACCACCTGCTTATCTTAGGCATGTAAACATGGTTGAGATGTTCTGCTGAATTTCCGCTGCAGTATTTTTTTGAAGAATAGGTGTTGCCACTCAGACACTACCTCCACATCAGTGCTGTGTTGTGTTTTTTCCAGGATATCTCTTCTTTTCAAACTGTTGCAACATCTCCCTTTGTATAATCTGTGAGTCTGTGAGCATCTGTACTGACATATCTTTATAAAAGCATTACAGCTGTATACAATTGTGTCTTCATCCCACAATGTGCAAGGTTATAAAAATCAAGAGAGAGAAACTAGTGACAGTGCACATGACATCAATTAGACATCAACTCTATCATACAGTGCTGTTCACGAGCCACTGGTGGTGGGTATACTGGGGCCCTTCAGTTCTGCTTTGAAATTCAGATAGCAGGATCAGAATTTTGCATGAACAACATGAAAGCATGGATCCATCCCGTCTTTAGACTGGTGGATTAATGGTATGGGAAATGTTTTCTTCCCACACTTTGAGCCTCGTACTACGAATTACTTGCTAAAACACCAAGGCCTACATGAGTATTATTGCTGAACATGCCCTTCTCTTTATGACCGCAGAGTATCCGATTTCTGATGGCTGCCTGTCACTAAGCTCAAATCCTCTCAAACTAGTTTCTTGAACATGACAATAAGTCCACTGTACTCAAATGGCCAAAGAGCATCTCTGGGATTTAGTGGAACAGGACAGTTGTATCATGGATGTGCAGTTGGCAAATATGCAGAAATTGTGACGCTATCATGTCAGCTTTTGGCTGTTCCCTTGTTACAAGGGGTCACCACAGCACATAGCTCTGCATTTTTGATTTGGCCAGATGGAGGCAAAAAAGTTACTATTCAGTACAAGATAATGCTTTAATTTAATACAATCCAGTACTGTCTACTGCTACTTCGGTTTTCATGTGTATGAAACATTCAGAAAATAACTGATCTCATAGCAGTGAAAGCTGAGCCAGTGACATGCTTCATTTAGATTAGCAGAGTTGATGTCTTGATGTATTGTATTTTATTGCCTTGCCAGTCCCCTCCCTTTCACTCCTCTTCAAGGTGGTCACAGAGCAGATTTTATTGATTATAAAAAGGGTGATGTTGTTTCTCAAGGAGATCCTTTACGGTCTGGATGATGTAGTCATGCATTACGAGATCTTATTAAGTGGTGAAATGTTTCACAAGCGTGTTTTACTTTTCCTCGAAGAATAGGGAAGGTTTAGACTTTGGGTTTCAGGTTGACACCAAATCTTGGCAAATCAATAATAATACATATTCAGTTTCTAGTCATGTAGAAGAGATTTGTGAACACCTGGGAAGTAACACAGAGGATGACAAGCAGACGGTCTGACAAGGAACAGAGGGAAACACACTATTATATAAACACACAAAGGTAATGAGGACAATAGGAAACAGGAAGGGAACACAGATGAGACCAATAAGACAAGACTAGACAAGGAGGAGAGCAAAACTAAAAACATTAACAGTGGGAAATACAGGAAAACAGGAAATACGCAAACTTAGAGACAAGGATGACTAGAGGTAACACAAGGGAGGCACAGTAACAAAACCTAAAGACTAGAAAACCAAAACACTAAAGAATGACTAAAGGAGCTAGAAATACAAAACTAAAATATGAAAACTAAATCACAGAATTCAACAAAAAACTGGTTCTCAAGGCCCAGGACCATGACAGATTTCTTACTGAGTCTCCTATTGATTGGGTTCTCGTTGGCTCTGGGTTGAGAGTCACCACTACTGCTAAGCAGCATATCAAAGACATTGCATTTGTGGAAATTAATTGCACAGAGTGTGGTCAAATGTTTGTAGATGCTGGAGGTATTTCCCCCATTTGCAATGATCAGTGTGGTGTCATTACTGAAATGTATTATGTAATGTATTGTTTGCATGTGCGTCATCTTTCTGTCTATAAACACGATAGTCTGTTTGGATCGAAATCAGATAAAACTGTGCAGGGTGTAGAGTGGGGTCATGCTAACAATCCATTACAATCTGGCTAACATCCACCAAGGTCTTTAGGGTCAACTTAATGATTAATTGGACTAAAATTGACAAGAAGCCTTATAACATGATACTCAGTGTGGTGTGTGCATCTATAGAACATTAAGGAGCTACCATATAAAGATTATATTTTTCATCATATCACATTTGACCTCTGACCTCTCCTATGATGTCAATTGATGTAAAAAAGGATCTCAAGTTCATATGTTATGTAAAACTATTTGAAACTATGTCTTACAGCCACTGTTTGCACTGACTGCATATAGACATACAGGGAATAATATATGAGGATTCTAAACATGTTACTTAAATGTCAATCTTTCATCAAATGTCTTAAAACTATGCTTAAAATGGTACAGCCTTTGTTTATGTTGGCAACATTTAGGAAATGATACTGGTAAAAGTAATTAGTGTTCAGAGATTGAGCTGCCTTGGCAGAGGTATTGGAGGGGCCAATGCAGTGCTTAACCTCCTTAGTTTTTCCAGTGAGGTCAGTTTTGGCAGAACCCAGTCTGAGACAAGCAGAGGAGCTCTGGAGAAGGCTAGAAAGAAACACATAATCAAAACTGATAGAGTACAAGGACTGACTTTTGAGCAATCCCAGATGAGAAAGAAGACACACACTGTCAGGGCAAGTTTTTAAAAAGACCAACATCTTTGTTAAAGACACTGCTTCACACTACCAGTTAAACTGGCTGAGGAGGGAGAACGTGTTCACGAATTCTGAAACTGAAAAGAAGTTTAAAAATGTCCCTACAATTACAGGGAGTGCAGAATTATTAGGCAAGTTGTATTTTTGAGGAATAATTTTATTATTGAACAACAATGAACCCAAAAAACTCATTAATATCAAAGCTGAATGTTTTTGGAAGTAGTTTTTAGTTTGTTTTCAGTTTTAGCTATTTTAGGGGGATATCTGTGTGTGCAGGTGACTATTACTGTGCATAATTATTAGGCAACTTAACAAAAAACAAATATATACCCATTTCAATTATTTATTTTTACTAGTGAAACCAATATAACATCTCCACATTCACAAATATACATTTCTGACATTCAAAAACAAAACAAAAACAAATCAGCGACCAATATAGCCACCTTTCTTTGCAAGGACACTCAAAAGCCTGCCATCCATGGATTCTGTCAGTGTTTTGATCTGTTCACCATCAACATTGCGTGCAGCAGCAACCACAGCCTCCCAGACACTGTTCAGAGAGGTGTACTGTTTTCCCTCCTTGTAAATCTCACATTTGATGATGGACCACAGGTTCTCAACGGGATTCAGATCAGGTGAACAAGGTGGCCATGTCATTAGTTTTTCTTCTTTTATACCCTTTCTTGCCAGCCACGCTGTGGAGTACTTGGACGCGTGTGATGGAGCATTGTCCTGCATGAAAATCATGTTTTTCTTGAAGGATGCAGACTTCTTCCTGTACCACTGCTTGA